TTTTTTTTCTGGAATTTCCGGAGTTAGAGGGCGGCAAAAATTTGAGTAATCATCCCGTAATAGTAAATGACGCCATGCCCACCATTTGTGAATAAGCTTCCCTCCCCCCTCCTCCTTCACGCCGAAAAATTTCTTGGACATACTTGGCTATACTCATCACATATCAGTTTATGGAGACAATTTAGATCACTGTCAAATCTTTGTGTATCTTAATTATTGTAGATGCGTTTACAAGAAGAGAAAGACGATGTCTTGTTTGAACTACAAGAAGCTAAGAAGCGTATTCTTGAATTGGAATCTGAACGAGATGACCTCATGGAGCGGGCAGAGGCTGCCAATGCTGAAGCACGGGATATGGCTAGACATCTCAAGGTACTCTGTGTAGCTGAATTCTCACTCTCTCTTTATGTCTTTACTGGCTTCAGGAGATTCGCGAACAAATGCATGAACTGGAAACGGAGCTTGCAACATCTCGTACTAATCTAAATATCGCGAATCGTGGAAATTCTATGTTTGCTGAGGTTTGCTCTGTTCTACATGGTTTATTTCTTTATTTCCAACTTTCTTTTTCACTGAGTTTTCAGTTTGCTGAGGAACGCTTGAAGTTGGAAGCAGATATGAAAGCCTTGTTTGCGAAATATGAAGCTGTTCGTAAACAAAATTATGACCTTTCAAATGAGCTGGATGAAGCTCGCTTGCTAGCTTTACGGCGGACTAGGAGTGAGGTGAGAGCCTATGATATACATTTTCTTGAATTTTTTTTTGATTGAAATTTTTCTGATCAGCTTTCTCGTTGAGGGTTTTTCTCATTTTTCTATACATCTCATTTCTTGTCTCTCTCATTTTTTCTCATTCATCTCATTTCAATATGCATCATGTTCTCTTTGCTAGACTGCTGAATGTTTGCATTTTAGGGTACTGGGAGATGCCGTTGCCACGAACTAGCTCCTGAGCTGCGCCAGCTCAGAGGACGAGTGCAAACCTTGGATGACCGCCTGTTTAGAGCAAGAAATGAACTTTTGGATATAGGTAGAACAACGAAAGGCATCGAACCAAAACTCAGGAGTTTCTATACTTCTTTAAAGTACGTTTATACTAATTCCTAACCTTGATGCAATGCACTATGCTGATTTCAGGATAGAAATGGGAGCTTTGCGTAACGAACGTGATAAATATCGAGCTGATAGGGACAAGCTCATTGAAGAAAAGGCCGATCTTGCAGTATGACGTGCAGCTTTCACTTTATCAAGTATCTAGTATGGTATAGTAATCTTAGGTGCGAGTGGCGAATGCAGAAAAATCAGTTGCTGATGCACAAGAAGATATTGAAACCTTGAAGCTACAGCTAGCTATGATGAAGGAGAGGGAGCAGAAAAAAGATGCTGCTAAAGGTAGCAGGCTTATTGCTTTGATTTTGCTCACTGCTTTTACACCATATTGGCTTTTACAGTTTCTGAAATGATGAACAAAGGAAGTGGTGATCAAGAACAGCGTTTATTGTCTATACTAAATCCTAATCAGTTTACACCTGCTGCCTCGAAGAGACCGACGGTTAGGTTCTTTTCATAATCTCAATTTTTTCGCTTTTTTATTAGCATTATTAGTAACCTTTCCAGACACAAACACCTTCTGTTATTCAGTGCGTACTAGAAACACCTCAATGCTCTGCACTACCTCGTTCATCGTTCCAAAGAGATCTACAAAGGTATTTGATTTTGTTTTTGATTTGAAATATTGGAAAAATTATGGTTTCTATCATGATTTTAGCTCATTCAATGCTGCAGCTGATACCATAGAGAGGCCCTTCAGTGGACTGAAGAAGCTCCGGGTTGGTTTTGGTTTCACACTGTCTTACATTTTGAGAAATCGTGGTTCACTGATCTAATGCTGCTTGAATTTAGTTTGCTGATAACAGTATGAACGACGACGAAGATAACAGTAGGAGGGATTCTATAAGTGCCAGTGAACTGCGACGGATCGCTCGTAAGCAAGCTCGTCGTGGCCAATCGAAAGTTCTTCCAATTCCTGAGAATTTGAGTAAGTTTTTTTGGTTTACATCCTCACAGATCTTACGTCTTCACTATCGGTTTTGTTCAGAAAAAGTGACAGCCAAAATAGTTAATCCAAGTGCCTTATCTTCAAAATCTGCTATCACGGAAACAGCTAAAGAAGAAGAACTGAAAACTAATGTGAATAGGACATTGGTGACGTCGACACCGGCAATAGAAACATCGTCTTCACGACGGTCTTGTGCAGGTATTTCAAGGACCTCGATTTTTTTT